ATCCCGGTAATCCCTCAACTCTACACTGTTCACCCGGGACCTAAGACCCTTAGCGGTGCACCCTGCAATCCCGGCTTTCTGCTCCAGGCGGCTGGACGCAGAGCTCATCTGTGGGGAGGCCGTGACCAGACCACGCAGCAACCTACCAAGTGAGAATGTCCAGGCGACCAAAAATTGAAAAAAGGGGTTGTCTGGGGGTCCTTCGAAATAGTTGTCAGGATGATGGGGTGTACGGGGATAGTAGGAGACAACAAATGGAAAAGCACATGGAACATGAAATTCAAACTAGGATGCTGTGAAGGTCTATGGAGTAGCTGGGTTTATGGAGTAGATGGTAATGCGGGGGGAATACTTACAGCAATTAGAATTGGGTTATATGATGATGCACGCGGAATGATACTGGTATGAAACTGTTCAGGCATGTACATGAATCTCCACAAATATAAAACAGTCTCTACAGGTAATGTGCTCCTGAAACAAACCCGCCTACTCCCGTGAAATCCAATATGTAGCCCTATGTCCCTATGTAATCACGACAAAAGTCTAGACATAGTGGAAATTTGCAGACCAGCTACACCTTGCACGCCTTGCTTGGAAGAATGATAACGTTGCACAAAAAAGCCTGGGAACTTTAAGAAGAGGTTGACATACCCTAAACCCTAAACCATAAATCCCTACACCCCAAACCCTCAACCCTAAACCCTGTGGCTTTCAATTTAGGGGTGAATGGATTCAGGGCCGGCGAGCTCTGGAATGAGATTCAGCAAGCTTTGGGGTGATGCACGTTCTCTGACCTCTGATTAGCTGGGAATGAAGGAATGGAAAAGAAAATGGAAACTACTTTAATGGGTTTAGGGTTACAATGAATGGGTTATATAGGGTTTAGGGTTTGGAAGGGATGGAAGAGAAGATGGAAACTACTACAATTGGTTGGGTAGGGTTAGGTTTTAGGAAAGGAAAAGAACATGGGAACTACTACAATAGGTTATATAGGTGCTAGTTTCAGGATCCATTCCTTCATTCCTAGCTCACCAAATGCCAGTTCTTGGCTACTGGCTCCGGACATCTGGAGCCTGGACATCAAGGCACACTTCCTTTCCAAGGTTCGCAACTCGCAGCGTGCTATGACAGTGATTGCAGCATTGTGAACGACACCAGGCTGGCTCATAATGCTGAAAAACCCTAAGCCCTAAGCCCCAGAACGAGGAAATGGAGGAGCAGGTCTGGCAAAGACGGCAAGAATGCTGATTCCCGCAACAGGGACTGCCATGATGGTAACAGCAATAATAGCAGCAACAGTGGCATGCCGTCCATTCCAACCCGAACTTTCAAAACGACTGTACTGCATGTCACTTTGTAACACAATGAGTTTGTGGCAGCGATAAGCCAGCTGTAATGGTCCTGTACGTTAAACATGTGTTCTCCCCTCAATGAGATGAAGTAGGTCCAAACTATACTAAAACCTGTGCCCTAGTTTGAAACCCTAAACCCTCAACCCTAAAAACCTGAAGCATCAACTCCATATATCCTAAAACCCATAACACTAAACCCTATAACCCCAAACCCTATAACCCTAAACCCTAAACCCTAAGTCCTGGGGCTACAACAGAATTAGGAAGGCATTCCACGGCTTCCCACCTCGACATCGGAGGTGAGCAGCGTTTCAATCTTGAACTCTTCGGTCTTGTCAATGGCCTGCTGACAACTTCAGGCCACACGGTATAGGGCTCAGGGTTTAGGGCTTAGGCTTAAGGTTTAGGGTTGTAGTACCTTTCGGAGGTCATAAAAAGAAGCAACCAAACACGCATAACAAACACCCGCAGGAAAGAACCACATGGTACCTTGTTGGGGGAGGGGGGGGGGGGGGGGNNGGGGGCGTAACAAGAATCAACCGAAAGAAGCAGAACACACCCAACAAGGAACAAAATTGGAGAGTCCAGTTGAACTCTGAAGACCTAGCTCAGGGTTGAGATTTTTGAAGTCACACCGCTGGATGGCAGCGACGCGGCCGCCCTTCATCTTCCAGATCATCCGCAGCTTTGAGACACGAACTGCCTTGAGCCTTCAAGTACAGCTCTATCTGTCCAATCCGCGCGCATATTTTCCTGAATTAGTTTCTCCAAGATCCCCAATACCAAGACGTAGGGCTTAGGAATGTTTAGAGTTTAGGGTCTGTCGCCTGAAGCTCCGTGGAATGGCCGGGGGTAGAAGCGTCGCAACTTTCACCATCACCGTACCAGTACCTGCTTGCCTCAACGGTACATCACCGGACCTGAACCCTAAACCCATAAGAGTCGGCACCCCAAATCGTAAAAAAACAACTTAGACCTAAATCCTAATTCACGACCCCCCTGTCCCAACATCAAAAGAACCAACCTTCCTGCAGCACTAAACTCCTGCATAAACAATAACCCCTGAACCCTATGCCTGGCATTCCTAAAACCACTATCATAAGAGAAATAATAGCAAACGTAATTAGTAGTAGCCGTCACGAAAGCTGTGATAACAATGGTACTCAAATCGTAACATCAACCTCCTAAACCCTAAACCNNCCTAAACCCTGAACCGTAAACCTCACATCCTAAACCCTAAGCCTTACACACGAACTGCAGATCCAAAATGTCGGAGCCTTACCCTGAATGCGATTCTGCCAGTCCACGTAGACCATTTCCTTCCCATGCAGGTTTAAGATTTAGGGTTTAGGGTTTGCGGTTTAGGATTCAGGGTTTAGGGTTTGGGGTTTACGATTTAGAGTTTAGATTTTGGGGTTTAGGGTTGAGGATGTCGAGCTTCGGATTCAGAAGCTAGGATCCCCAGTTTCCTAGGATTGAAAAGGTCCTACTGTTTGGGTTTCAATAGTTTTTTGAGAAGTTAGGGGGAAACAGAGCTTACTCAACACCCCAGGAGGAAGGGGTTTTACAGGAATTTGTGGGATAATTTGAGGTTTAGTTTCCGCTACTGAAAATCCTACCTGATCTTGGAACGACTCTGTCTTAACCCTGTAGGGCTTTGTGGACCTCTACACAAGGCTCCTGCTGATTACAGCACCTTGAGGTGTTGTATGGGTTCTGCTGCGTTGTTTAGGGAATCTTGACAATGGTGCAATGAACAGACGCTGGACAGGCCAAGGGTGTTCTGGAGTTTTGCAGGCCGTCAAGAAGGTTGAGGGCCCTAAACCCCAAACCCACTCAACCCCCAAAGCAGGTTTGTTCCTCTTACTGGCGGCTCGTAAGGAATGCAGGGACACGGGTACAACATAGGCCCGTGATTAAAAAAAACCCTCCGTTAAAGGGCCTTAGTAGTAGGATCCCTACTTTAATTCCATTAAGGGGAAGGGTTTATTAAGTAGGGGTCTTAATTAGGGACCACAACAACTGACTACATAGCCAGTCACCAGAGCCCCTCTTAACCCCAATGCGCTTGAATTCAAGGCTATCCCCAACTACCTACAGCGGTGTTGCCAGTGTTACAGGTCAGGAAACTTCAAAAGTCTGCAGGAGTTCGAGCTTGAGACAGGAAGATGCAAGGAATTGGGTTTAGGGTTTAGGACTTAGGGTTTAGTAGGGCTTAGGGTTTAGGGCTTAGAGTTTACAGTGTTACTTGTAGTCAGAGTAACCAATCTCAGCTAAATCCTCCCCCGACCACTAGCTCCCCTGGCTCCCCTGAGGCCCATGAGGATTCATAGTCCCAATTCTAGGGTTGTCAAAGTTATGGCCCATTTGGGGATACCCTATATATGTATATATCCTTCTTCTTCACTGGCTTCAGTATCTTATCATTTGTAAATCGTCATGATCAATCCATCATAGCCATATCACGGGGACTGGGGGGCTGATGTTGGGTTATGAAACTACAATCATAAGTCGGTTGCAGCGACCCATGGGCCTCCTAAGCCCTAAATCCTAAACCCCAACCTCTCAACTCATCTATAAGCATTCGGGAAATACTCCACTGAAGGAACCAAAGAGGAGCCCCACCCATATGTTGGGGGTTTGGGGTTTAGGGTTTAGGGTCTAGGTGTGGGCTCATACCATGCAGGGATTTTCAAAACAGCGGGTCCTTTCTTGGAGGGTTTCCAACAATTTAGGATCCCTCTTCGGTGGGCCCCAGAATAGGGATTGTAGTAGTTTGGGGTCCATGCTGGGGTGCCATGTTTATTGGAACTAGCATTTGAAATCCTTATAGGCGTATACTACGGATGGCCGGAGGGGAGGTAGACTTCGGGTACTGCCCCAACCCAGTCAATAGCCGATAATAGGAGTAATAGTACGAGGTATGTATGACTATAATATGATCATTATCCAGCTGTATCTGGGGGGGGGGGGTGGGGCATATATCCAAAGTGGACTTGCCATCCACCATCCACCCCATTCTGCATAGTAGGCCCCATAAATTTTACTATCACCAACGTATCTAATAAGTCCTTCAAAGCATGTAACCTAGAACCCGAAGCCCTAAACCTTAAACCGTTATGAATTTTGGGACACCTGAAGGCTGAAACCCATCTGAAACGTTACTTGCGCCATCTTTGCCTGCCTGGCAACTGCATAGGGGAGTGGATGGTGGGAAGGAGTAGGTCTTGTGGGTTTAAGGATTTAGGGACTGTGGCCTAGGCCCTCAGCCCCACACCACCCGACCCTAAGCCCTGAAACCCCAAAGCCCTGAAACTCAAGATCACCAGGATCAACAATCAGCACGCTAATGATTCCGAACCCTGAGCCCCAAACCCGAAACCCTAAACTCTAAGCCCTAAGCTCTAAACCCTTAGCGCTAAACCCTACCCTGCATTCCATCAGTCACCACTCCATGCCCCAAAATCTTAACTACAAAGCGGCCTATAATCTATAACAAGTAATATCGCATACACACATATATTATTGTGCGTGTGCGTGTGCATGCATGTGCGTGTGTGTACGCTGAATATTACACATGAGATGCTAACGAGCTGCACTCAGGTTGTTAACGCTCAATTAGTTCATGATTGGATAAAGGTGCTATGCCTTGCGGAACTCGTGGTTGAACGGCCCGGCGTAGCCTGAGCATTGCATGGAACCATCCCTTAAAACGTTGTCGACCTTCACATAAGAGCCTTTCTTGACCTAGGGACCCGGTTTCTGAGCCTTCCTGTGGCAGAAAAGAAAATGTTGGAAGGTTTGCTGGAGGATCCTGATTCGGACAAGTTCAGGTTCCAAATTGAAATTGCTCAATCTCAAAGTTGAGAGGTATCAAAGTCATGGGCCGTTGAAAGGAGTCCTCACAATCAAAAGGGGTCCCTGATACCGTGAACTTGAAGCAAACCCTAAACGGCAGTCTCTTAGCTGCAAAGCCTGAAGTTCAGATAAGACCTTGCCTGAACTCCTAGTATCTCCCCTGATAACCCTATAGTTATCCCCCATACAATCCCTTATATAACCTCCCACTAAGGAGTTTAGACTATGGCTAAAATGGCTTAAGATTTAAGGTTGGGAGCTTAGGGGTGGTAAATTCCGTAAAATCCCACCCCTACCTTCACAACACACGCCCAAGGCCAAACGGAACATCTCCCATGCATAAGATGCTTCCCTCTACAAAAGTCTACGGGACCCTGAATACCACAATGAAAATAATGCCCTGCCAAAAAAAGTGCCCAATTCCTCTTACAGGTGCCCGTAACAGGTACAGGAAACTCCTAAAGATCCATAAGCCCTAAACCAAAAAGTCTAAACAGCCCTAGGCCGTGAGCCTTGAGCGCTTCAGGCTGAATCCAAAACCCTTCATATTCCCCTGCTCCTTTTGGGTTTAGGGTTTAGGGTTTAGGGTTGAGGGTTTAGGGTTTAGGGTTTAGGGTTTAAGGTTCAGGGTTAAGGGTTAAGGGTTTAGGGTTTAGGGTTCAGGCTTTCGGGTTTAGTCTTCCAACCCTAGACGCCGTTTCCGTTTCGTCTTGTCCATTTGACCCAGTCAAACCCTGAATGCGCCCTGGCGCAGCAAGATTCTCCTCTAAGACTGTCCCACATTCCCGTTGCAGGACCTCAAACTTTAAACCATACGCTTAGTACGAGCACAAATCGTATGAAAGCCAGGCGCTCACAAAGGCCGCGTTGAGCAAGCAGTCGCCGACCAACCTGCTCACAATCAAGCATTTTAGGGTTTAGGGTTTAGGGTCTATGGCAACTTAAAATGGCGGTTCAGAATGGGCGTGTAGTCAATAACTCGTAACTGTTTTGGGCTATCCTAAACTCTGAACCCTTAACCCTAAACCTAAACCAGGCCTCATGTAGGGGAGGCATAAGGGCCCCACCAGCAGTCCACCATCCCAGGGTTGTTTCAGGGTTTAGAGTTTTGGGTTTGATGGTTTAGGGGTTAGGGGTTTAGGCTTTAGGGTTCAAGGTTTTAGGGTTTAGGCTTTAGGGTTCAGGGATTGAGGGTTCAGTGTTGAGGGTTTCGGGTTAGGGTCTTAATCCCTAGTATCCCCCTTAATAACCTCTCTAGTACTCCCTTACATAGTCCCTTATCTAACCCCCACCCTTCTAAGGAGTTTAGACTATAGCTCAGACAGGCATATATGTGTATGTATAGGGGCTCAGGGTTTAGGATTGATGTAAGGCGCATGGTGTGCGGCTTAGGGTGTTTTGCAAGTTCAGGTGGTTGGCGTAGGACGTGAACCCCAACCCCTAGACCCTAAGCCCTGAAACTAAAATAGAAGTTTCCATTTTCTTTTCCATTATCCCTACCTATATAACCCGCATTTATTCCCTTCCAGCCTCCAGCAAGAATAGCTTGGTTTATACCTTATTCCCTACTCGCTTGACGGGACTACGAGATGAAACTCAAACAGGCGCATGCCTGGTCAAGATCTTAAGCACACGCTCGCCACCCTCCTGAACCAAGTGCAAACCCTGGCTCCTACATACAATCCCACATTATCCGCTTAATGACTTTTACAGGGCTTAGCGTTGAGGGTCTATATTCCTAGTCTCCCGCCTAATAACCCCAAAGTAGTCCCCTGTAGAATCCCTTACATACCCCCATTTAAGGATTTTACATGATGGTTCATCTGCAGAAAAATGCGCTCGTGTAGGCTTGGGGGCCTATCGAAATTATGTCGGGACTACGTGTAACATATGTTCAAACCTACCCCGTTGAAGCCTTATCCACCTCCTCACCTCCCCGCACAACGAGCAACCATCACATGAGCTATAGTCTAAACTCCTAGTATCCCCCTTAATATCCCCTATAGTAGTCCCCTATATACTCCCCTACATAACCCCCTCTAGGGAGTTTAGACCCTATACCCTAAATCCTAAACCCTAAACCCCTAAACCCTATATACTCCCCTATATAACCCCCCCTTAAGGAGTGAAAACCCTATACCCTTAACCCCCAGACCCTAAACCCTATATAATGCCCTACATAACCCCCTTTAAGGATTTTAGACCCTATACCCTAAACCCTAAGCCCCTAAACCCTATATACTCCCCTATACTCTCTTCCCCAATAACCAGGCCTAAAAAAGTTCAAGCTTTATTATAGAGACCCCAAAAGGAAGCCCAATAAGGCTAAAGTTCTTCTACTGTAGCTCACATAGCCTCTTCTTGACCTCGCCCATCTTCTGGAGATCTTCGGTCCATCGCTTTCGCTCGGAGCCCAGACCTGCATAGTTTTTTTCAACTTGTTTGGGGTTTATAGGGTTTAGGGTTTAGGCTTTGGAGGGGTTAAGGGTTTAGGGTTTAGGGTACAGGCTATGGAGGTTGAATAGGGTCAAGGGTTTCAACTTGTTTGGGGTTTATAGGGTTTAGGGTTTAGGCTATGGAGGTTCATTAGGGTTAAGGGGTTTCAGTACAGGTTTACAGGTCTGAGGCTGTGAGCTTTTCAAGGATTGGATTTCAAAGCTTCCCTAAAGGATTGGAAGTAATATCAGGGCCGGCCTGCAGGCTTCATAAGCCCCAGACAAGACCCTAAACCCTAAACCCTAAAGGCAAAATGCATTCAAGGGAGTCTTACAGGTCTTGATTGCGCTTCATTCATGCTTCTTGCCAACTGGCGGATTGGGGATAACCCAGACCCATGATCAATAAACCCCCTCACCTAATAGGCGTTTTCATAGGGATCCTCATACGAAGGCCCTCAACACGAGGGGCTTTCTTAATCATGGGTCTACATTATTTGAACTTCCACTTTCCACTCTCGCCGGCACCAGACTGCGACTCGCAACTGCCAGCATAGAACAAGCATCCCAAAGATCACTGGCCGACTAACAATGCATGTACTACCCAAAGCGCTGTAGGTTATAGTAGATACACTTCGGGCTCAAAGAGGTTCCCCACGACTACATGGACCCTACGGGCACACCCAGCAGCCTTCGATCAGTTGGGAGGCAGCGTTCAAGCGCCGAGTCATAGTGTCTGCATCCTGCGTATCATGCACGCATGCCGCCAGGCTTTGTTTGAATGCAGGTTCTTCGGTTTTCATGGATTTAGGGAGTGGAGGGCCAATGCGGCTATCGGCCTATCAAGAGCACCGGAACCTGCCGGAAAATCAACGGTGACGCCTGAACCGCAAAACCTCAAACTCTGAACTGCCAGGGTAGACAAAAGGAGCAATGCACTGCTTTCCTGGCCGGGGCTCTCTATGTCACAGCCTCACTGCAACAGCAGGCGTAATGTCGGAGCTTCATTTCTGCCATTAGCACATCAAATCATAGTGGTACCAGCAGACAGGCGACTTGTTGTCTTCCTAAGTCCTGAAATCACTTTCCTGAGGCCCCTCGAGTTTGGAAGCACCACCAGGTCAAACTACTTGGCTGGTGGGTAATATGACATGAAAGGTGAGGGGTCTCACATCCCATGGACTCTCCATGTCACATTAAGATAATGGGAATCTCTGAATACAAGCCTCAAAGTCCCCAAAAAGGCTCCTCAGTATATTGTAGGAGCGCCACATATCCCCAGGGTCCACCAAGATATCTCCATCTTCCTCAAGTTTGAGGGAAAACCCTCCCTAAACCCTATGGCCCTATAGTGCCCCTTAAGTAGATAGAATATGGCTTTGGGTATAGTGTAATCAGATCCCCATATACCCCATATTCTATCTACTTAAGGTGGACTATGAACCCTAAAACCATAAACCCTAAACCCCACAACCCTCCCTTCGGACCCCTAGCGTCAGGTCCTCTTTCAGCTGCTTCAGCTTGTCGCTTTGCACCTGCCGCTCCTGCGTCACGATCTCCAAGTTCTCAGCCAGCTCCTGCAAAGCCGGATCTCTAGTTCGAAAGGCCCTTCCAAAAGCTAAGATGAACCCTAAAAGAAGCCTACGCAGACTGTCCTGTTACAAGGAGAGGCTAGGAGGAGGTACATGCTAGCTTGGGGAGAGCGGGTTGAAAGATCTCCTCAATCAGAACCTTAAACCCCACCCTTTCATATCTTAACCGTTCCTCCCTCCTCTGCAATCAAAAGCTCCCAAAACCCCAGCCCCTGAAACCTCCATAAATGTTGGATGTACCCGAGGCTGGCTGTCCTTCAGCTCTTTGTTGATGTTCTTGAGGTTCCTTGGCTCAAGTTACTTTAGGGCTTAGGGCTTAGGGTTTAGGGTTTAGGGTTAAGAATTTAGGGGCGTGTATAGGGCTTGGGGCTTTAGTAGGTTAATAAGTAGAATAACTGGGGTTACTATGTGGGTTATAGGGGTTAGTCACCTACTTCCTTAGTGCCCCCTGACCCTCCAAGTAGCTGCATGTAGAGCTTCCATGATTGGTATTTGGGTTTGGGGGTAGCTAGGAACTATAGCACGTATATGGCACACACGCAGCAATCATTCAGATGTTATGTGGCTAGTTGTCAGTCACTAGTATATCGCGGGTCAGTCCCTAGTGTAACGCGGGCCTTAAGATTTAGAGCATTCAAAAAAGGTGCATATTCTTGACAACCCTCCATAGAATTCTAGTCCAAGTTCGACACCCTAAACCCTAAACCCTAAAGCCACTTTGCAGCACAACGCACCGCAATTTGGGGTAAGGTCGGGCAAGGTCTTTCTCACTCATCCTTAACCCCAAACCCTAAACCGGTAACCCTACGCCCCTGTTTAGGGTTGTGGGTTTAGGATTTAGGGTTGAGAAATTAGGGTTTTAGGATTTAGAGCTTAGGATTTAGGGTTTAGGGATTGGGAACCCTAAGCAGGCACTGGAGTTCACACAGTGGGATCCAAACAGCTCTCTGCCAAGGGGCTCTTCGGCCTCTTCCTTCTTCTGCTGAAGTTTGTTCACAAGCTCACGCTTAGGGGCGACACCCCTGGCCACCTCTGGGGGGGCGAGGTGCAGGGTCTGGGGATATATTGGATCATATTAGGGTAGTATTGGGTTATTTTGGGGTTATATTGGGTTATGTTGGGGTTATAGTGGGTTATCTTGGGGTTATCCTGGGCTATCTGGGTTTGGGGAGTTCTCAGGTTTAGGGTTTTGGGTTGAGGTTTAGTGCTTGCTGTTCGAGAGGTTTGGGTTACAGGGTCTCAGACCCCCATCCTGAAATGAAAAAGACAAAGCGCCCGATGACCGCTTACATTTACCAAACCCGAAATTCTTTCAAGCGGAACGACCGCATGTGCGCTGGAAATGGGCATTTCTCAAGATACGCATTTTGTGGTATACGCTACAATCTTGGATGTGCTTATTGTAGGGGGTCACAACAAGGACGCATAATCTTACTAAGAACATCCAAAATCAAAGAGCACCTTAAATAGTGGGTGTTCCGTACATAGAAGAGGCTAGGAGGAGGGCCTAGGAAGCCTTTCAAAACAACCCTAAGCCCTAAACCCGAGGTATCTGTGGAGCTAAAAGCACGCAAACCAAACCTGTCTGTGCGGTTTGGGGCTTAGGCCCAGAATACCATACTATAAAAGGAATTATGGGTCCAATTCCCTAATGGTTGTATATGTGGACCCTCTGGGACCCTGAACCCTAAACCCTAACCACCCCCCCTAACAAAATCATCTAAAAATTAGATCCCCTAGAACCATGGGGGGGGAATTATGTAAAACAAAATATACGGGTTGTAGTTATATAATGGGTCTACAATGGGTCTACAAAGGAGATTTATTTTTAGATCCTCCCAGGGGTCTGGGCCTGAAACATAAGCATACGAGAGAGAGAACAGGGTCGGTAACATGTGAACCTATATAAGCCTAGCTTGCTTTTCGCTGTCCATGTTCCTTTCCATCTACTTTTCTTGTTACCCCAAGACCCTAAACCCTAAAAATGAACTCTAAATCCTGAGCCCGAAGCCCTAAAGCTTATGTAGGCCGCTGTAGCAAAATCGATTCCCTTGCACTGTCACAGCCGGACAGCAGGCTGCGTATTGCTTGTCAGGAATCCCTTAACAGGTCATTTCACAGTGGGTCTAGGGGTTTAGGGTTCAGGGTGTAGGGTTTACTTCCAACCCTAAACCACAAATGCAAGGTCATGTGAGGGCGGGACAGTTTGTCTAGCCTTCAAAGCAGGCTCTGAGAACCATTAACTTGTAAACCCTGGGTCTTTGTTTGGGGTGTTGGGCCTCAGGGTTACTGTACCTTCTAGGCGCTCAGCCGCTAAATCTTAACTCCTACAACCGCAAGCTCCTGAGACCTAAACCCTGAATTCTAAACGCCCAAAACCCAAACACCCCGAACCCAGACCTATACTCACCTGATCCGCAAAAGCCCCTAAGCCCGACCCCAAGCCAACAACTCCCGTTTGCTTTGTAGTGACTGCTGGAATGGGTCAAAGGGACCATCACAGGTAGGGACTGCTACTAGGGTTGTGAAGGTTATAGCTATTTATACACTGCCTCCTTCCCTACCTTAAACCCAAAGTCCTACGCCCAAAACCCCGAAACCCTACGTAAATCCTAAACCCTACACCATGAACCCAAAACCCTGAACCCTAAACCCTTCCCTCCCTGAAACCCTAAGTCCTACGCGCAAAACCCCTAAACCCCAAATCCTAAACCCTACACCATAAACCCGAAACCCCGAACCCTAAACCCAATAGTTTCCGTTGTATTTTCTGCTTCCTACGAAGCACTAGCTAGCCAGCCGAGGCCTCGTAGTACTTGACCATGGCAAGTACCCACTGAAGCAAGCCATAGCCAGCCTGACGGGTTTTGGGTTTAGGTTGGTTTAGAGTTTAGGGCGTAGGGAGGTTTTGGGTTTAGTTCCGTTGGTTTAGAGTTCAGGGTTTAGAGTGTAGGAGGTTGGTTGGTTTGGGGTTTAGGGTTTAGGGTTTAGGCTGGCTAGGTTTGTTTAGGAGGTTGGTTGGTTTAGGGTTAAGGGGGTTGGTTTAGGGTTTAGGTTTCCTAGGGTTTAAAATGTCTTTATGTGTTGCAGGCAATACACGTGTTACGTTGCAAGGGTTAAAAGCGGCGATACAGGGACATGTATGTGTATACGTATATGTACAGGTTTTAGGCTGGCGCTTTAGGGATCCTTTAAAGGGGGCTCTGTAGGGGCATTAGTCTCGGGACTTTGATGGTTCAGGGTTTCCAAAAATCAGAGGTCCCTTTTGGGCGTCCCTATGTCAAGGATCACAGCCCCTATTCATGGAAACTCCCCTACCCACCCGAGGGGTTCCCAGCGTTGGATCCCATGCGCATTTCATTACTCGATGCATTTCGTTCGCTTGTCCTGAGCCATCTTGCCTGGGAGAAAGTGTGTCCGAACAATATCCCGTACATCTGGGTGTTTGTCAAAATTATGGTCCCTTTTTGGGTACCCTAAATATTAGGTGCCGAATTATAAGAGGGATCCAAAAAACGGCCCATAATTTTGACAACCACCCATCTGTATCATGCCAAAACTCGATGCCCAAAACCCATTGCCATGCATTTCTCTACCAAGTCCCTTCCCTCCCAAACATTGCGGAGGCCCTCGACACGGACTTCATCTTCTCACCCTCAAACCTTGGCTGATAGCTGTACTCTGGCTGTTAGAGGGACTTTAAACAGGGGGGGAGGGGGGGTAGAGGTTGCGTTCTTAGGGGTCTTGGGGCTTAGGAGTTTGGTGGTGCAAGGGTTCGGGGCTTCAGGCTGAGGGATTAGGATTGAGGGGTTTGGAATGGTCTAGGACGCAGCAGAGGGGCGATACAGAAAGACGTAGACTTACAAAGAGATTCACGGCATGTAGCAGGATGCTCTGGCAATCATCCAGAGAGGGACAGGTGTGGAAGAGTACAAGACGGCCTTGTGGGGACTCTAGGATCATGGGGAAGGCGTCTGAGACCCAGGCCTATAACCCTAAACCCTAAGGGTTAGGGGGACTTAGTAAGTAGGTTAATAACCCCAATAACCCAAATAATCACCCTACTTATTCCCATCATTAACCTACTTTCTAAGTCCCCCTGACCCTCCAAGTACACCCTGAGGGCTGTATTAGGAGGTTTGAACCACCCAAGAATAGGGTTTTAGCAGTCTAGTTTGGTGTTTAAGGTTTAGGATTTCAGGTTAAGGGTTTGGTGTTTAAGGTTTAGGGTATTAGTTTGGGGTCCTGGGTTTAGGGTGTCAAGTCTCGACAACACCCGTACCCCAGGCAACCGTTGATGCATCAGTCCCATAACCCCTCGTGACATCACGGCTTCAGTTTGCATTATGCAGATCCAGCTCATCTTCGTGACTTTATAGTTTGCAAGGCCATTTTGCCACGGGCTTTTCTGCATGCAAAAGCTCCAGTTCAGATCTGTGCAGAAGTACGCATCTTTACAAACCAAATACATATTGAACAAGGCGACATGTAAGATAGGTAGGCCTAAATTCTTTGCCTATGCTCCCACGCCCTTGTCTCGGGCCCGACAGAATATGGTAGTTTCCCAAAATAGGGGACCCCAATATAAACCCCAAAATACTATAGTCCATATTATGGGGACCCCCAACAGGTACCCCCTAATTTTGGGAAACCTCAAAATCCACTATGGATCCCGCAGTGATGTCGAGAAGCACATCCTTCTCCTTGCCCAGGTAATCTCGGATGCGCTTGATCTGGTCCAGGTCCAGAATTTGGGTGTTGTGGTCCAGGATTTCGGGCTCATTGAGGTTGACAACTCAGCATGTAAGGGGTTTAGGGTTTAGGTTGAGGGCTGAGGGATTGGAATTGCACTCGGATTTTCTCAGGCTCAGGTACACACTCTCAACCTGATGTATATAGGAATTCTACTACCTTCTTTCATCTTGCTGCCCTTCACGGCTTGGAGTTGCAAAGAGGAATTGAAGGCCTAAGCAAAGACAAACTATAAACCTAAACCCTAAACCCAACCCAAGAATACAGGTGCTAACCTCCACCGAACTAACATGGACCACTGCAGGGCCATGCAAACACCACAGTCCTCTGCAAGGAGCTTGAAAAGGTATAGGGCTTTATAGGGCTCTATAAGGTTTTATAGGGTTTTATAAGGGTTATATAGGGCAGGCATATATACGGGTTACATGAGGGTTATATAGAGGTTCGGTCCAGGAAGCATGGCCCTCCCTCCCGAACCACCCCAAACCCGAAAATGGGGGAACCTAGCGGGGTAGTATACCCTACACCCTCAACCAACCCTAAATGGAGGGGGGGTAGTATAGAGGGGGGTAGTAGGGTAACTCATGAAAACCCGAAGAAGGTGGCCTGCTTCTCCTTCATCTCATCCTTGCTGCAGCTCAGAAGATGTCAGCTGCGGAGGTTTAGGTTCTACAGTTTACTGCTTCTAGTGCAAGGCTTTGCATATGCTTAAGGAATGTGGGCTAGACGGTTGAAGGATTTCAGCTGAGGGTACAGGGCTTGAGCTATTCTCGTGATTACCCGAAACACGTGCTCGTTAGTTCGCAAGAGAGACCCATTACACTTCATTACGCTGAGGATAACTTTTCCATCTGGAAGCACAGCTCTAGATAGATGGCGGCAGTGAGTTATATGGTCATGCACAACAACCTTGATGCCCTCACGATGTAAGGGATCCTTCGGATGAAGCAGTCCAAGGAGCCTACGATCCTATATAGGGGTTATATGGGGGTTATATAGGATAATGGAAAAGAAAATGGAAACTACAATATTTATATAGGTTTATAGAATGGTCAGTCTACTTCTAGTTGTGCTAGCTGACATGAACTAGTCAGAAGACCCTCATCATCACACATGACGAAGCACAGCGCATCCAATCCCTTCGCAGCAGAAATCACGAGGTGAGGTAAGATGCACATGTCTTGTACAACAGAACGAACAACCTGCGAAGACGAAGCTCCGCATTTCCGGTCCCTCCACCTAGACCCACTAATCTCCAGGAATCCCATATGCACTTGCTGAAAACATGATCAAACCGCACCAAATGTAATTCTAGGCAGCATGCTTTTCAAGTTGCAGGCTATTGCCGGATAACCCTGCGACCTCACCTATGTAGGTCACTGCTGCGACTACTTTGCGCACGATAACACAAGAGACGTGTACTGCAAAATTCGTCCTGACGTGGAATATGAGGGAGTTGTCTTATCCATAGGGCCAGGACTGTTGCTGGAAGCCCTGCACATATTCAGCAAAATCAGAGCGATGAGCCTTCCTTAACCCTTTCCAAGGCCTCTACGGGTCCTCTAATATCGAACTGTTCCTTGTTAGCTCCAAAAGGAAGCCGCGGTTGGTCACGGAGATCTCCATACACCCCTGCTTCTCACACCATCGTGCGCCCTGAGCCATATACCCTCAAACTTTAGACCCTGAGCTCCAGACGACAAACGGCAGCGACTAGTCATTAAGCGTTCAGCCTTCCCTAAGTTATAGTGATGCTTAGTTGGCAAGGGAAGCATGGATCACTAATTAAAGAAATCCCTGTACAATTCCCATCCGTGTCGCTGTAGCACCGAAAAGGCTATCATTCTGCATACTTGTGGGGTTTACGTAATCCTACAGTACTTCCTAAGTGATCCCTCATGCCTCTAAATCCTAACCCCTACACACCTAAAACCTAAATCCCAAAACCCTAAACCTTAAACCCACCCTAAACCCTAAACCCCTAAACCCTAAACCCCGTCTAAACCTTAAACCACCCAAAAACCTAAACCCTGCTATCCCCAAACCATGGTCTCCTTCTTGTACTCCTGAAGCGCTCGTAGGAGACCCACGTCGGACAGCATGGCCTCAAGCCCCAAAGAGCAAGGATAATAAGGATTTAGGCGTTGGGCTTAGGGTTTAGAGTTTAGGGTTTAGAGTTCAGGGTTTAGGGTTGGGGTTCAGCGTTTAGCGTTGGGGTTCAGGGTTTAGGGCTTGGGCTTAGGGCTTAATAGAATTTAATTTTGGGCTCAGGGTTTGGGGTGTAGGCAGAGAACCTCAGGCTGATAGGGTTAGGGTTTGGCTCTTTGGGGTGCCGGATTGAAGGGTGAGGATTTAGGTTTGGGGTTTAGGGGTTTCGGGGTGAGGATTTAGGGTCTCAGAACACAGAACATGTAGGGTCTCCGGTTCGACTCTAGCAACCAAATGGTTCAAGGTTTAGGTTTCAGAATGTAGAGTCTAGCGTTCGAAAGGTAGGTTTTGTGTAGGGGCTTCGTACGCATGAGATGAGGAACGTTGAATAGACAGTTCAGGTTTTGAGTGATCACCTCTGAACCTCCAACCACGAGTCCTGAGTCTCCAGCACCCTCCACCCTAACCCCTATAGACCGCGTGTCCTCAAGCTACCTTCACAAGAAGGAACAAACCAGCCCAACTTTGCAGTTGGGACCTACACTCTAGACCCTGAACCCAAAAGCACCCAAGTCCCGACCCCAATTACCTACAGTTTCGCAGATTTAGGGCTCAGGGTGCACAAAATAATCAGGCGGTGACTGCGACTGAACTAAAGCCTCAATTGAGCTCTAGGCCCGAAACCCTACGCTCTGAAACCGAAACCCTGAACCATGAACCCTACACCCTAAACCCTGAAACCTACCTTAAACCCAAAACCCTGAAACCTAAACCTTAAACCCCAAACTCACACCCCAAACTCAAAGACATGCCGGGCCTTGGCACCGATCCAGCCCTGGCTTTCATCCTGCAAAAGCTGTGTCTATAGTCCCCCTTAAGTAGAATATGGGGTATATGGTGATCTTATCATAATATACCCAAAGCCATAATCTATTTAAGGCCCTGATACCCTACTAGGGGCCAGAAGAATGACCAAAATCATGCTGAGAGTTTAGCGTTTAGGGTTTGGGGTGTAGGGTTTAGGGTTTGGGGTGTAAAGTTTGGGGTGAAGGGTTTAGGGTTTAAGGTTTGCAGTTAGTCTATACCAGAATTACATAAAGAACCTGGGACCGTAGTTTTGGTAATCACTACCTCACTCTATGTCTGTTATCTTCTACAGACGAAACTACCTCCCACTCTAGATGGGCTAGTGCATGAGGGTCGGGGTATGCCTAAGCCCTATACCCTCAACATTGAGTGCTTACAGGACTATATGCGTGGAATTGGCTCTCAAGGTATTTGCACTTAGGGGTTCTAGAAGCCAAGTTTTGGGGTTGAAGGTTGCAGATTTGGGATTTAAGGTGGAAAGGGTTGAGGGTGAGAACGTTTCATGTTCGAAGTTTGCAGCTTAGGGCTGTAAGGTCTTGGGTTCGAAGTTGAAAGTAGCTGAATCCTGAAAACTCTGAACCCCGTACCCTGAAAGGGGTGAAAATTTAAGGCTGAGGGTGGGCCTTCCCGTTGAAATCCCTTCGTGGGCTGGTATGGGCCATGCTCCATTGAAAGCTCCAGGTGAGTTATGCCCTGTTCTCCTAGCAAAAAATGGCTTGCTCGTAGTAAACCTATAAGGAGACCCATACCCCAATAAGTAATCGCTTGCCCTTAAAACGACCTCGTGTCTGCCTACAAGGAATACCCCGAATATCGTATCGACATAAATTGAGGGAAACATGTATGGGGGTAGCCTGGCCCTAAACAGGTTGGTTGACAAGAGTGGCAGGGAGTATTAAAACTCCTTTAAGGTGTATCCATGCCATGGATGTATGGCTCAGGGCCTTGTGATTTGGAGGGTTAAGGGTCTAGGGTTCAGGGTTTGGGATTCAGGGTGTAGGGTCGAGGGTCCTTTCGCGAGGTTCCGCGAACAGGGCATAGCATATTTTACTTGGGGACAAGAGGTTTGCCACCAATGTCGATATACATTAGTTGCAGCACGTCTCTTGGTGACACGACCCACCCTAAACCCTAAACCCTAAACCCTAAACCCCTAAACCCTAAACCCTAAACCCTAATTCCCCACACCTCCCTACACACTTTATCTCCCCAAGCTCTACATGAGACTTCCGGTTCCTCTCAGAAGCCTGGCAAGGAATCTCGAGTAGGGTGCGTGTTGACAACAGCCTTTGCCTTATCAGCGTTTAAAGCAGTGGAGGTCTCTACCCAAATCCCTCTAAAATCCCCATAAATACCCCGACTATGATACCTGTATGGCTTTTCGAGTAATTAAAGGATTGCAAGATACACCCCAGAGACCCCAATTTTTTGGAGCCCCCATGTCGACTCCACTCCCCTTTCACTCTCACTTCGGCGCTGGTAGCTTGGTAAGTGGCAATGGCCCGAATGTGCGCAGGTCCAGACAAGATCCCAATAGTAGCTTCCATATTAAGCTCTGGACATGTTCCGTATATGCACTTCTAATAAGTGATAGAACCCTAGAAAAGGCTAAGGGCCATAGTGTCACAAATTAACTTGGGTAACCTGGATGAGGATATTATCGGAGGCCAAGACAGCAATCAGCAAGGCCTATCCCAGCCTAAACCCCAACCAATGAACACCCTAAACACCCTAAACCCCAAATCCCTTACTAAACGCTCCAAACTGCAACTCCCCAAGCCTACCTCGACCCTCCAATGTAACTTTTGGTGTTCCATGGGGGTTAGGGCTTAGGGCCCTAAGACAACGAGTGCCGAAAGGCCTGACGCGTAGAACTAAATCCTCATCCCACAGAGTCCTCTTTGCCCAGAGGCCGCAAGATGCAAACGCACATGCAAACCTTGGCCGGAACTGTGGATTCAGGATGCAGGGCACAGAGCCTTGAGATCTAGAGCGCACTTAGGGCTGTAGGATGTATACCAAAATATACGGGTTCCAAGGGCTTAGCTTTTCAGATGTAGATTTTTAAGTCCGGGCGAGGCCCTGGAATGAGCTAGAGACACACGCTATGAGCATTATCACTCACTCGGGAGCTTCTGAAAATTGGGCTATTCTACTGTAAGGTTTTACCTAAAGCCCGTTAAGGGCCCATAGTTCTTAGGGCCCATGGTTGGGACCTTAGAGCTACCTTGGGGGGGAGGTCTAGATGTAGGGAGGGCACGGGCTAACGCACTTTGAAGCTCAGACTCTGAACTGTAACTTTAAATACCCCTAGGGCCCAAGTGAGCAAATGATTGGGTTTTGAAGTACCCAGAAAACCGTTCAGTTCATAGGTTTTTGCAACCTACAAATTAAGGTGTCTAAGTACCCAAAACCATCCACATGGGCGTATTGGGGACCTGACGCTCCACAATTTAGGTACTTGGGCCCTCTAGGTACAATCCTCCTCTTGACGGACTAGACTTTCATGACATGTGCCAGCATGCATCGCCAGCTGCCATGGTTCCAGTGCCTATACTTTAAAGGTCAGGGGGGTTCAGGGTTTAGGGTTCAGGGTCTAAGGGTTTAGGTTTCAAGGTTAGGGTCAGGGGACTTAATAAGTAGGCTATTCAGGGGCTAATTAGGGCTTCCATATGAATTCTAGGGGCTGTTAACCCACTTACTAAGTCCCCTCACCCTCCCAGTAGAGCCATGGATCTCTACTGACAACAGAAATGGCTCTCAGAAATCCGCCTGAAGGGTACATGCCACTGCTAAATAGCCATAGAACACAAAATCCTCACACCTGTACACCTCCAGCGAAGACAGGTATCTTCTTCCAACCGTAACCCTGGCACGCTTGAAGCCCGAACTCGTTTTAGCCCTGAACCTTCCAGACCTCTAAACCCTAAACAACACTACTTGGAGGTTCATGGGACTTAGTAACTATTTCTAGCTGGGGTTATAGCCCTACTTATAATTGGGGTAACCCCCATAAGGTCATTTAGGGGGGTTAGAAGTAGGGTTATAAGCCCAGTTATGAGTAGATACCTCTACCCTCAACCCTAAACCCTAAACCCCACCATTCGCCAAAGAAGGCCAAGATGCAATCATCACCGGCTGAGGCGGCGTTGCCATTGCCTTAATCTCGCTGATGTCTTTCTTGTCCAGCTCCTGCAGATAATGGTCCCTTTTTTTCGTGTGTAACATAGCCTTGTTCGGATGTTCGCATGGTGAGGAAGGGATTTTATGCGAGTATGTAGCGTCCTCGGGTTCTGGGTTGCAGGAACACATTCCTTCTTGGAGCCCCAAGCGTCGGACTGCATACCCCTACTTTACTAAGCGCTGGTGCTGAGGCACGATGAAGCATCACTGCGGGTTGCCTATGAAGACGGCAATGTCTATGATTATGGTGATGATGATGATGATGACGACCCTATGACGATATGCTAGCCCAAAGCCCCATGGAACTCCAAACAAAAACTATCAAGATGCGGGAAGGCTTGATGACTGCAGGCTTCTACCAAGGACACATGCAAGTCAGAAACGAATTTTGGTATAGCTGGAACGAAACTTGCGCGACTTGGGATGGACAGACTTAAACTATTCACCGTATGAGGGGTATAAAGGGTGATGAAAGTTTTCTCCATCTGCTGTGTCACTCGACCTCATCTAAACCCGAGCTTTCAATACTACCTGCAGCGCCAACTACACCGTCCCCTTGGAGACTGGGAAGCGGCAGACCATGACAAACAGGTGCTCGATGAGGCGTCTCGATGTATATAATGCGCAGGAATGGAGAGAACAACCCAGCGGAGGAAAAACACAAAACGAAATGGCTGCATGCTGCAGCCTGAAACGAAAGGCTATACAAGAACAATTCCGAAAACACGCGAATAGCTTACAACACATAATTCCAATTTGTGTAGACGGGATATTGTCATCAGGGAACGCCTACTCTACAAAGCAACACAAGAGCTGCTACTAAACTACAAGAGCAACCCCTATGTCCACAGTTAAGGAGGCTTTTGGCAAAAAATGAAACCATGAACGTGTCAAGTCCAACCCCCAA